CCAGCCTGAGTCACCTCCCGGGCGCCGCGGGCCGTCCCCAGCACGGACCAGTTTGCCAAASCAGTTCCTCCGTCTGCCGCTCTCGTTCCTCCAGCCCGGCCGGCGCCGGACCCGGGGGAACCCTGCCGAGCATCCCCGGCCCCTTCTGCCTTCCAGATGTTCCCGAATATCCCGAGGAATTCCTCAGGGATGCTGCGGGGTGATCCCGTGTGACGGGGTGGTTTGGGGAATGGAATGTGGGAATTTGTACAGAATGGAATTTTTCCTCGGTTTTTTTTTTTCCTTTCGGTAGGAGAAGGTTCTGGGGGTTTTTGGAATCGAAGGAAGGTGGGAAGAGCCGGGAGTGTGGATCCTGGGAAGGCCAATGCCGGATTTGRGGGAACCCTGATGAGCATTCCCAGCCCCTTCTGCCTTCCAGATGTTCCCGAATATTCTGAGGAATTCCTCAGGGATGCTCCAAGGTGTCCGTGTGACACCTGCAGACCTCAGCGGGGTGATTTGTGTGTCCTTTCATTCCTGGTGTATTTTTTTGGATATCCTTTCATTCCTGGTGTATTTTTTGTGTGTCCTTTCGTTCCTGGTGCATTTTTGGGGTGTTCTTTCATTCCTGGTGTATTTTTTAGGTGTCCTTTCATTCCTGGTGCATTTTTTTGGTGTCCTTTCGTTCCTGGTGCATTTTTGGGGTGTCCTTTCATTCCTGGTGTATTTTTGGGTGTCCTTTCATTCCTGGTGCATTTTTTTGTGTCCTTTCATTCCTGGCCTATTTTTTTGCTATCCTTTCATTCCTGGTGTATTTTTTGGGTGTCCTTTCATTCCTGGTGCATTTTTTGGGTGTCTTTTCATTCCTGATGTGTTTTTTTGACTCTCAGCCCCGCTGTCCCATCCCTGCTGCTCTCCCCTGGCACGGATTCAGTGCCGATATCCCAAGGAATTCCTCAGGGATGCTCCAAGGTGTCCTTTCTTTCCTGGTGTATTTTTTTAGGTGTCCTTTCATTCCTGTTGGATTTTTTGGGTGTTCTTTCATTCCTGGTGTATTCTTTCGTGTGTCCTTTCATTCCTGGTGTATTTTTTAGGTGTCCTTTCATTCCGGGTGTAATTTTTTGGGTGTCCTTTCATTCCTGGTGTATTTTTTGGACTCTCAGCCCCGCTGTCCCATCCCCACTGCCCTCCCCTGGCACAGATTCAGTGTCGGGAAGGAGGAAGTGCCCCGATTTCAGTGGCTGTGGGTGTTGTCCCACACCGAGCAGGGCAGCATTTCCTCCTCCCAGACCGGCTCTGCCGCAACTGGGCCAAGATTCGGGCTCGTGTTTGACCCAGAAGAGGAGCCAAGCTCCCTAAATCTCCCAATTTGGGAATTCCTGACCCCAAAATTCACAAAATTCACCCCCTTCTCTCTCTGCTGAGCATCTTTCCCGCAGCCAAGGATAATCTGATCCCTTTAAGGGATTGTAAAGGCACCAGAATTTTCTCTGTCAGGTTCAGTGGTTCTCAGTTATTTTCTTATCAGCTCAAGCTTTGGGTGGTGCTGGCATTTTTGGATGATCCCATCTCCAAAGGCACACGGAGCTCCTGGGCTCATCTCRCGTGGCTTTTGGGGTAAATCTGGAGGTTTTAAGGGTCTCAGCCCCAATTTGACCTTTGTGGAAAACGGAGAATGGGAAAAACTTCACCCAGACCTGAGCTCCACGTCCTTGGCCGAGCTGCCAACCCAAACATTGGGGAAAGCCTTGGAGGAGCTCCAGGAATCTGCTGTCCTGTGGGGCCTCAGGTGGTTCCACCCCAAGGAAAACCTTGGAAAATTTATTTTTAGTGCTGGATTTCCCCACTCTTGTCGAGCCTGGGCTGGGAGAGGTGATTCCAGCAGCACGAAAAAATCAGGGCTGGAGATCTGCAGTTACC